GAGAGGAGGAAAGTGAGAAAGCAAGCTGCCAGATCTGGGACTTGAACCACGGTTGGCCATGTAGGAGTCCAGTACCTTAACCACCATGCCACCTGCTAGCCCCAAGGCCCAGTTTTCAGGATATCCTGAGTCCCCTCTATCCCCGCTTCCCACTACCCAGCAGAGGGGGTTACACTTACGTTGGCGCCGACGGGCCCTGGGGGGCCCTTGTCACCCTTCAAACCAGCAGGTCCCTGAGGGAGGAGGTCATTCAGAGTCAGGAGACCCCAGGGGCCCCAGGTTCTCTGGGCAGGGGTCTCCACCCCCCTTCCTGGGACTGAGCACAGAGCTCAGGGAGAGGAGCCCATCACCGTGGCCTTCCCAGGAGCCCCCCTTTCCCTCTCTGCCTCCCAGCCAGGTACATGCAACAACAGGGTCCTGAGGGTACTTACTGGGTCCCCCAAGGGTCCTGGGGGGCCGGGGAAGCCCCTGGGTCCAGGCGGCCCCTCCTTCCCGAGGGGCCCCAGTGGTCCCAGCTCCCCCTGCAGGAGTGCAGAGGATGAAGGTCAGGTTCAGAGAGGGGGTGTCCCCTGCTCTGCGACTCTGGGCCCCAAAGTGGCCTTGGGGGGTCACCCGACCACGATCACCCACAGGGCAGAGTCTCACCTTGGCCCCCTCTCTGCCTTCCACGCCAGGAAGACCCGGTTCACCAGGAGGTCCAGGGGGGCCTGGAGGCCCCCTCTCTCCCAGAGGCCCCACTTCTCCCGTCTTTCCCTGCAGAGAAGGAAGTGTCCCCTTGAACAGGGGAGGACTGGGGGGCCGTCAGAGATCCAGCACCCCCCATCAGCATCCCCCAGTGGGGCAGAACGGGGAGCTGTGTGGGGTCCACTCTGACCTGAGGACCCAGGACACCAGCTGGTCCAGGCGGACCTGTCTGGCCTTGGAAGCCCTAGGGAGAAAAAGAAAATGGGGGCATCACATGGGGGGAAAGGAGAAAGGCATAGCCTAATGGGGTCAGGAGTCAGAGGTCAAAGGGCCACTCACCAATTCTCCTCTCTGTCCAGGGTGGCCCGGTACCCCATCTTTTCCCTGGGGACCCTATGGGGACACGGCGGGAGAGAGTTGAGGCACAGCTATGGAACCTCCCTCATCCCCGGCCCCCAGATCCCCCTCTCACCCAACCCCCCAGCCAGGGTGACCTCACTCACAGGGGGCCCTTTGGGCCCAGGAAATCCTGGGGGGCCTTGCAGACCAGGGAGGCCCTGAAATAGAACCAGAAGTCATTACCTTGACCCTCCTGCGTGTCACCTCCCGGGCTCACAGAATAAGAGCAGGTGTGCCCTGCGCACCCACTGTGTGCTGGACGGGGCAGGGTCCCGCACACTGTCATTTAATCGGCCGTCACGGCCCATTGCAGTGAGGACTGTGGCTGCTCCCACTGTACAGAGGAAGTGAAGGCACAGAGAGGTGAAGTGACTCGTGCGAGGTCACACAGCAGGCAAGCGGCAGAGCCAGGACTTGAACCCAGGGCGCTCTTTCCGGTGCATTATACATTTCCCCGCCTCCTGGATTGGTCTGCTCAGAACCTCTCTCTGTCTCTCATGCACACGTGCCCACACTCACACTCACCTTTTCTCCAGGGACCCCAGGAGCCCCGTCTTGTCCCACGTCGCCCTAAGACAAATGAATAAGACTGAGGTCCCTAAATAATCTCAACTGGGAAGGGCCCGGGAAGGACTGGCTGAGCCTGGGGCAGAAGGGCTGCAGGGAGGCTGCCATCGCCCACTCATCCCATACCTTGGTGCCTGGCTGCCCTGTGGCTCCCGGTTGTCCCCTCTCTCCACGGGAGCCCTGAAGAGAAAAAAGGCAAAAATCAGAAGCGAGAGGGGCCAGCAGATGGTGTAATGGTTACGTTGTTGGACTCCCACGTAGTTGACTGTGGTTCGAGTCTCGGACGCAGTGGCTTAAAACTCATGCCGTGGGGGTGGGGGGTGGGGGGTGGGCTGGCAGGTGGCATGGTGGCTGATGCACCAGACTCCCACATGGCCGACCACAGTTCAAGTCCTGGACTGAGAGGTTTGCTTTCTTGCTTTCTCTCTGTCTCTGTCTGTCTGCCTATCTATCTGTTGCTCCGAGGTCAAATAGAAAAAAAAAAAAAAAGATAATGAATAAAATTAAATAAAATATTTAAAAAAAAAAACTTATTCTGGGTCTCTGGGCACACATGCCCAGAATCCCAAGTGGAGACTGGAGGAGAAGAGATTGTGGCGTGGCCATCCCTCCTGGGGGGTGATTTCTCGCTTTCTGTCTCTCTGTCTCTCTCTGTCTCTCTCCAACAAGTGAACACACCCGATAGCAAAAATATTTCTCTCAAAAGAAAGAAAAAAATCAGAAGTGAGAATGTGGGGGACCAGGAGATGAGACCAGGTCCTCTCAGTCGGTCCCACTGAGGATACTTCCAGTGCCCTCCTGCCCACCGGGGTCACCGACATAACCCAGACCTTCTCCCTTGCCCACGCCCCAGTCCTCCTCCACGCCCCCCTCAGAGGCCCTCCTCCCTTGCTCCTCCAGGTCCAGCAGGGTGGGGGACATGATTTTTTTCTTACCGGGGGTCCCCGCTCTCCTTCTAGGCCTGGCTGCCCCATCTTCCCCTGTAAAATAAATAGGGTGAGGGAAGGCGGGGGTTGGCGACGGTGCAGAGAGAGACAGGACGCAGATGCACACGGACCCATCCCAGAGCCACGGGACGTCTGCCTGTGGATTCGCAGGTCTCTGGCTGACACACGCACGTGCATGCACACACACAGATGCAGCCCCCGCTCACGATACAAAGATCCCAGGCACCCACTTGCACCTCTGGCTGCATCTCCGGAGACCAAACACGCCAGCCACACAGGCTCACACGGCCCACGGTGGCCGAGTGTACACCCCAACGACACCCTACCATGACATGTGTCTGTGGACACGGCCAGAGGGTGCTGCCCAGAGCCTGTCCTGCAACCCATCCCTCACATACAAAAACGGCCAGTGTACACACGTGCACCCACGGACATAAAGACGTAGTCCTGGGACCGGCAGGTGGCCTGGTGGTTAAGGGCGCTGGGCTCCCACGTGGCTGGCTGCAGTTCGAGTCCCTGGCCCTGGAGACTTGCTTTCTCACTTTCCCTCTCTCTCTCTCTTTCTCTCTCGCTCTCACTCTGTCTCTCTCTGGTCAAATAAATAAATTAATAAAATAATTCTTTTAAAAAAAAAATAACTAGAATATGGGGACCAGTAGGTGACCAGCAGTGGTTAAGGCACTGGACACTCCCACATGGCTGACCACAGTTCGAGTCCTGGACCTGGCGGCTTGCTTTCTCACTCCCCCCCCTCTGGTCAAATTTAAATAAATGGATGCATAAATAAAATTAAATAATTCTTCAAAAGAATAAGCTAAAACAAAGAGGTAGTCCTGGTAAGCTCACCCGTGTGTGTATGCCCCAGGGCGTCTACACGGCGGTCCCTTCCAGGTCAGGACACACAGAGCTATCCATACCCCACACTCACAGAAATATGTGCACGCATGAGGGTGTCCATGTTCTCTCACACATGCGTACATGCCTTTCACATGCATTTAATGCTCACGGTCACACAACATCCATGCGGCTCCAAGCCACGAGCCTGCAGGCTGCAGCCCCGTCTGATTCATACCAAGAGGAATGAGGGGGGACCAGCAGATGGCGTAATGGTTACCTTGCTGGACTCCCACGTAATTGGCTGTGGTTCGAGTCCTGCATGTGGCAGCTTAAAACACATGCAGGGGGCCAGCAGGTGACATCGTGGTTAAGAGCGCTGGAATCGTACCGGTGCTGACCATAGTTCGAGTCCCGGACCTGGTGGCTTGAATTCTCACTTTCTCTCTCTCTCTCTCACTCTGTCTCTCACTGGTCCAAATTGAAAAATAAATAAATAAAGCTAAATAAAATTATTCTTAAAAACAAAAACAAAAACTAAACTCATGCCAGGTGAGGGTGTGCGTGCCCAAAATCCTGAGAGGAGAATGGAGGAGGAGGGATTGCGGCGTGGCCCCCAGCCTGGGGGACGATTTCTCCCTTTCCGTCTCTCTCTGCCTCTCTGGCAAGTGCACATGCCCTATGGCAAAAATCTCTTTCTAAAAGAAAAAGCAAAAGGAAGTACGAGGGAACTTCAAAAAGCTAATGTACGGGGCCAGCAGTTGGCATAACGGCTATGTCGCTGGAGCCCACGTGGTCTCCTCCGATTCTCCACTTGGGATTTTGAGTACATGCACACACGTACCCAGCATGTTTTTCAAGCCACCTCATTCAGGACTTGAACCACCGAGTTGTCCTTGTGGGATCCAGCTGTCTTAGCTCTGCACCACTGGCTGGCTGTCCATTAGCTTTTCTTTTCTTTTCTTTTTTTGGGGAGGTTTTTGCTAGAGGGCACGTGCACTCGCCAGACAGACAGAGAGAGACAGAGAGACAGAAAGCGAGAAATCACCCCCCAGGGGGGATGGCC